GGCGCCTCCGCCGCGTCCTCCGCCGCCTCCGCCGCGTCCTCCCCGGCGACTCGTCGCGCCGTCTTCGCGCGGAACGAGAGGAGCCGGAACGCGTGCGCGCGGTCGCGCACGCAGTACTCGCGCGTGCCCGACGCGCTGACGCGCCGGGACACGCCGAGCTCCGCGGCGACGGCGTCGAACGTCGCGCCGATGTCCTGCACGCTCGGCACCGGCTTGTGCGCGGCGCGCGCGAGCACGCGCCGCATCTCCGACGCGCTGCGCCAGCGGCCGCCGTGGACGAGGCCCACGAGCAAGACCAGCGTCGTCTCGGGCACGGGCACGGCGGCGCAGGACGTCTGCTGCGCGCGGGCGGCGAGCACGGGCGGGAAGCGGCCGAGGGCGCCGTCGACGGTCGACTGGAGCCGGCGCGGGAACTCGTCGGCCTGCCGCGCGTAGCGCGTCGGCGCGAAGGCCTCGCGGCGCGGCGGCGGCGGCGCGGGCGCTGGCGCGAAGGCCATTAGGGGACAACCCGCTAGACCGGCGCCGCAGGTCAAACATCGAGGCACCTTTGATTCAATGCCAGGTATCATCAAAACCGGCGGTCGATCAGCGCGCGAATAGACGCTGCCGCTTTAACCATGATCCACCAGGAGGAGTCGGACGCGGCGACGCGGCTGCAGGCCATCTCCCGCGGGCGGCGGAGCCGGCGCGTCGCCGCGCGGACGGCGACGCTGCGGAAGGAGCGCGAGCACGCGGCGACGGTGCTCCAGAACCGGCAGCGGGGGCGCCTCGCCGCCAAAAAGGTGGGCATGCAGCGGGACATGAGCCACGCGAGTACGAGCATCGGGCGCGTCTACCGGGGCCGCCAGGCGCGGCGCGAGCAGGAGCGGAAGAAGCGGGGGGGGAGGGCGCTGGACCGGGCCGACATGGTCAAGGGGCTGCACACGCTCGGCCGCGGCGCGTTCGACCTCAGGCACGTCTTCCTCGGGTTCACCGTGTCGGACCGGCTCATCACGGATTTAAGTTTGCTGGAGGAGTACCCCCACCTCCAGACCATCAACGTCTCCAAGAACCTCCTCACGGATTTGAGAAGTTTAGAAAGGGTGCCGTACCTCACGAACCTGGACGCGTCGGACAACCAGCTCGCGGAGGTGCTGGATCTCCAGTTCCCCGAGTGCGCGCCGGGGTCGGCCTGGTCCACGGGCGCGTCCCACGTGGGGTCCCAGCTCCGCGTCGCGGACCTCTCGCGGAACCGCGTCCGCGCGATCAAGGACCAGTCGGGCCACCGCTACCTCGAGAAGCTCTACCTGGACGGCAACCGCATCCGCACGATCTCGGGCGTGTCCGGGCTCGCCTACCTGACGACCCTGTCGCTGAACGGGAACAAGATCGGCAAGATCGACGGGCTGGGGAGTCTGCCGCTCGTCGATCTCTCGCTCGACGACAACTGCTTGCGGTTCCTCGAGAATTTGGAGAAGCTCGTGCTCCTCCAGAAGCTGTCCGTGGCGAACAACGCCATCGCGTCCCTCGACGGCTTGCAGAAGTGCGTCCAGCTCGGGAGCCTGGACGCGTCGGACAACGCGGTGGAGCGGGTGCGGGAAGTGGAAAGACTCGCGGACCTGCCGCTCTTCTCGTCCCTCTTCCTGCGGGGCAACCCCTGCGCGTCCCTGGACTTCTACAAGCGGCGCGTCATCGTGCGCCTCCAGCGCCTCACGGCCTTGGACGACGAGCCCGTGACGTCGGAGGAGAAGATCAAGTCCATCAACATCCACGGCGGCGACGAGAGCGACGTCGGCCACCGCAAGGAGATGTACAAGAAGTACTTCGGCAGCGACGGCGCCTGGGAGAACACGCTGCCGCCCTTCGTCGAGACGGAGCCGAGCCCCGCGCAGGAGGCCGCCGTCGCGGGCCGCGTCGTCGACAAGCTCGTTCACCACGCGGTCTTCGACGCGGAGCTCGCGGCGATCCACTCCTACGACCTCCCCGCGCCGCCGTCGCCCGCCGAGTAAGGCGCCAAAAACCGGTCCCTTTAGGGCGTGGGGTATTCCCAGGCGGGGAAGTGGTCCGGGGGCGCGGGCGGCGAGCCCGACGCGGACGGCGGCGGCGGCGGCGGCGCGGGCGCCGCGGACGCGACCTCGAGGGCGATCTCGTCGGCCGTCAGGCAGAGCCGGTCGCCGTCGATCTCGAAGTTGCGCCGCAGCGCCGCGCTCGAGCCCAGCAGCGCCGGCGGCGGCGGCGGCGGCGGCGGCTCGCTCGCGCCGTCGACGGACACCTTCCGCGGCGGCAGCGGCGGCGGCGCGGCGCGCTCGTCGACGAGCACGACGCCCTCGCCGCCGTCGTCGCGCATGGGGTTGAAGGGCGGCTCCAGAGACGCCAGCTTCGCGAAGTCGTTGCCGCACAACTCGGTGAAGAAGGAGTGCGCCGCCAGCTCGTCGTCCGCCAGGCGCGCCTTCGCGTCGCGCTTCAGCAGCGCCTCCACAAAGTAGGCCGTGTCGCGCGCCAGCGGGTCGCCCGACGCCAGCTTGTCCGGCGCCACGAGGTAGCGCGCCTGGAGCGGCGCGTAGCGCACGCGGCGGAACAGCTCGACGCGGTCCTCCGTGTACCACGGGGGGAGCCCGGTCACGAGCTCGGCCGTGAGCATGCCCAGCGCCCACCAGTCCACGTTGCCGCCGTAGTCGACGCGGTTCAGCACCTCCGGCGCCATGTACTCGGGCGTGCCGCAGAGAGAGGCGCAGCCCGAGACCCGGAAGACGGACGATTCGGCGTCCGCGTCCAAGATTTTCGAAAGCCCGAAATCGGCGAGGAGCACGTGGCCCCGCGCGTCGAAGAGCACGTTCTCGGGCTTGACGTCGCGGTAGGCCACGCGGTGGCCGTGGGCGTGGACCAACGCGCTCGACAGCTCCGCGACGATGAACCGCGCCTCCGCGGGCTCGAAGCGCTTCTTCCGCTGCAGGTGGCGGAAGAGCTCGCCGCCCCAGGCGCACTCCGTGACGATGTGGAGCGCGCCGGGCGCGCGCCAGGCGCCGAGCAGCGTCAGCACGTTCGCGTGGCCCCGCAACAGCTCGAGCGCGAGGCGCTCGGACCGCGCGTGCTCGCGCTTCTTCTCCGTCGCGAGCGACGCGGTCGCGACGGACTTGAGGGCGTACTGCTCGTCGCCGTCCGTGACGAGGTGGACCTTGCCGAAGCTGCCCTGGCCCAGCAGGCTCACGGCGCGCAGGTCCCGGCGCCACGCCTCGGGCGCCCGGCGCGCGTTCCCGGAACGGGGCCCGGCCGCGGCCCCCGCGTCCTCGACGGCGTCGACCCGGTGCGGGGCGTCGTTCGCCGGGTTCGCGGCGTCGGGCTTGAGCGGGTGGCCCTCGCCCATGAGGGGCTCCGTGAGGGGCTCGAGCACGTCGCCCGCGTGCGCTCCGCAGAGGCCGCACGCGCGCTTCTTGCCCCGGGAGAAGCGCTCCGGGTCGCTGTGGAGCCGCCGGTGGCTCTTCTTCGCCTCGTCGGGCTCCGGGGGCTTGGTCGTGGAGGCGCAGGAGGAGGACCGGGCGTCGTCGCTGTCGGCGTCGGAGGTTTTGGGCGACGCGGGCGGCGACACGCTGTTGGTCAGCGGGGTCTTCGTCACCGTCGTCGGGGACGGGTGGCGCTCCTTGCTCGAGCCCTTGAGGAGGTTCCAGAAGGTCGACGAGCGCATGGTCGGCGCCCGGGGTGATGGGGTTTGCCTTCTCCTCTCCCAAATAATTCGACTCGGTGGCGCCGAGAGAGGCAGTCGATTTTGTCGACGCAACGAATCCGAGCTCGGTCAGATGATGATGCCGCATTCAAGATCGGCCTAAGTGGGCTACGAGCGTATGGTGATTCGATGGGCTCACCTCATCGCGGTCGTCGCCGCCGCGGCAAAAACGAGCGACAAGCCCTGGAAGGCGCGCACGGCCGCCGCGAGCAGCTGGGCCGGCGCCCGCGTCGCGCTGCTCTGGCGCGGCATGCACTACGGCTCCTACAAGAGCGAGCGGCATCGCAACAAGATCATCCACGTGAACGCGAACCACTGGAGCGTGCACGAGAACCACGTGAAGAAGGTCGTCGGGCCCCTCGAGCGCGCCGGGGCGAACGTCACGGTCTTCGCCTGCAGCCACCACAGCGACGTCGCCGCGGATTGGCTGAAGAACGCCGGCGTCTCGCGGAGCGACATCGTCCTCAAGGACCACAAGAAGCAGATCCTGCCCAACGAGCTGCTGCGGCGCGCCTACGCTCTCGTGGAACGCTACGACTGGGACGTCTTGTTGTCGCTGCGCGCGGACATCGTCCTGAAGCGGGACGTCGTCGACCTCATGCGGCGCGACGCGACGGCGGGCTCCGCGGAATCCCCGACGCTCTGGCTGCCCTTCCACGAGGTCTACATCGGCCAGGACCACCACTGCACCTACAAGGAGCGGCACCTCTCGGAGAAGTGCCTCGCGCCCTGGCGGAAGCACGGCATGCGCTTCTCGGACGCCGCGCTCGCGCTCCCCCGTGTGGAAATCAAATCTTCAACTCGACTTCAATGTGCGCATATGCGACAATTTCGACGCAACCTCTTCGGCTCTGCTTCGAGAACTCGACGAGAGCGATCGATTCGTCCAAAAATCAGCCGAATCGACTTCGAGTTGACCGAGCGAGAGCATTTCAAAGTTTGGTCGGGACGCGTCCCAAACCGGCGGTTGATTTCCACACAGGTGCTCCCGCGGCCGATGCTCGGCGACGTGAAATACGCGCTCGAGCAGCTCATCGCGCACCGCGTCTGGGACCAGCACACGCTGGCCCTGCACCTCTTCAAGGGCCGGGGCTACGACGTCGGGCGCAACGTGTCCGCGCTGCTCGACGGGTTCTGGGACTCGAACGTCGACAAGCACGCGAACCCCTTGTTCTCGCTCGCGCGCGGCAAGGCCTACCTGTCCAAGCTCCAGCACCTCGAGGACAAGGGCCCCGGCGATTAAGCATGCTAGCCCTTCATGACGATGATGTTGCCCTTGTAGGAGCGGATGAGGTGGTCCGCGACGGAGCCGATGTGGTCCTTGGGCGACGTCGCGAGCGCGACGTACTCGGGCCGCTCGTCGTCGACGATGTCCGCGATGGCCTTGGCCGCCGTGACGCCCGCGGCCTTGGTCAGCACGTCGACGGCGTAGTGCTCCGCGAAGGCGTCGCCGGTGTAGCCCCGCTCGTGGAGGTGCGCGAGGTACTTGGCCTTGAGCGCCTCCGCGGCCGCCAGGTTGTCCGTGCCCTCCGTGAGCGTGACGACCCGCAGCTTGTCCTCGGGCTTCATGATCGCCAGGAGCAGGCGGTAGGCCGTCCAGCAGCGCTCGTGGTCGACGACGAAGGTCGTGATCGTCTTCGGGCCCGGCGTCGGCGCGCGTTTCACGATGACGCACGGGCACGCGACGGTCCTCAGGCTGAGGTCCGCGACCTGCCCCAGCACCGTCGGGTCCCGCGTCGGCTCCTTGCGCCCCGAGAAGCCCACGATCAAAAAGTTGGGCATGCGGTGGCTCCGCCGCGGCGTCGCGCCCTCGTCGGGCTCGGCCTTGAGACCGTTGACCCACTCGGAGATGAACGACTTCGTCGTCGTCTTGTCGTCCTTGACGTGGAGCAGCGAGCTCCGGCGCTTCTCCGGTAGGAAGCCCGTGAGCTCGCTGTCGTACCTCGCCATGATCGTGTCGGCCTTGAACTCGTGCTCCGTGTAGTCCTTGTCGCTCTTGACGTGCATGACCGTCAAGGTGTCGTCGTCCTTGACGAGCGTCTTGCCGACTTCGAAGGCGCGGTGCGCGGCCTGGCTGCCGTCCGTGAGCACGACGAAGGTCTGCGTCGGCGTCGCCAGCAGCTTCTTGTTCGTCTCCACGACGACCCCGCTGAGCCAGTCGACCTTGGAGGCTTCCAAATCGCGCGGCGACCGCTCGCCGGGCTTCGGCGCCGCGGCCGCCGCGGCGGGCGCGGCCGCGGGCGCCGCCGGCGTCGTCGACGCGGTCACGTGGAGCCGGCCCCGGCCCGTCGACGCCGAGTACTCCTTGTCCAGGTGGACCGTGAGCGCCTTGGAGGCGCACTCGGCCTCGGCGAAGGCCAGCAGCTCGGCGTCGCCGGCGCCGGCGGCCTTCTTCTCGGCGACGGCCTTGGACACCTCCGCAAAGGCCGGGGGGAAGGCCGACGCGTCCGAGTTCTTCTCGGCCGTCTCGTAGTCGGAGACGCTGCCCGCGGCGCCCATCGATATCTTTTTTCTTTCACGCTCTCAAACCTCACGTTGACGTTCAATCAAGCGCGGAGCTCTGCATCGAGGCTGCCTGAGCTGCTGCGGCCGTGCCGCCATGACGACAAACGCGCTGCACGACGACGAGGAGCTGCTCGGCGGCGAGGACGACGACGGCGTCGAGCTGTCGGCCGTGGACTTGGCCGGCGGCGAGGGCACGGACCCGAAGCGCGGGCTGGACTGGGCGACGGCGCGGGACCGCCACGCCCTCGAGGGCGCCAATCTCTTGACGAAACCCGTCAACTGCCCGCCGGTGATCTGCTGCCTGCTGCCCTGCCTCTACTCGCTGCCGTCCATGCGCACGTTCGCGGCGAGCGTGCCCGAGGACGCGCTCGTGCTACGAGAGGGCGAGTGGTGCGACGTCGAAGCTAGCAGCGTCGTCCGGGGCGACGTCGTGCTGCTCCAGGAGGGCGAGACGGCGCCGGCGGACTTCTCCGTGCTCAGCAGCACCGACGACTTCGAGATCTCGCTCAAGGCCGTCAACGGCAGCCGCATGACGCACCGGCCGGGCCCCGAGGCGCAGGTCGCGCTCGGCGCGGTGTGCCTGCGCGGCAACTGCCGCGGCGTCGTGACGGCCATCGCCGACGAGACGCTGCTGGCGCAGCGGCTCCGCGACGGCAAGTGGCCGCCGAGGTCCTAGGCGGGCGCTTTTTTGCTTCGATAATCGCGCGCTCCGCGGCGCCCGGCCCGCGTCGCGGGCCCGGCCTCTGCCGCGGCGGAATCGCCGGAGATCGCGACGTGCCTGCGCACGAGATGCGACGTCGCGCCCGTGGCGTCGCACCGGCGGCGCGACTGCCTTTTGACGGCCATCCCCCGGGCCGCGTCTTCGGCGACGGCCGACTGCTGCTTCTCTGCTTGCGTCGCGCGTTGGCTCGATCGCTTCGAGCTCGCGGGCGTCGACGGCGAGGGCGGGGACGTCGTCGGTTCGTAACAGCGCCCAAGGTTACCTCTAGGCGCCTGTCTAGTAGCGAACTCTTAGGGAAGTTGGGGCGCAGGGAAGAATCGAAGGGAATCCTATCGGCCGTGTGTGCTCTTGGGCGTGCGGCTTCTCCGACGCAAAATCCCCAATAATAATAATAATAATAATAATAATAATAATAATAATAATAATAATAATAATAATAATAATAATAATAATAATAATAATAATAATAATAATAATAATAATAATAATGGGCCGAGATCATGCTGGTGCACCACCGCGCGTAGGCCTAAACTCGACTCGCTAGAGTCGCAACACCATCGAAATCATGTCGCGTCTACGCACCCGTGCGCCCCGGGGACGCGTGGACGTCAAGGGCGCCGGGGCCGCGGGCCGTCGAGCCGAAACCGCGGGGGGGGGTGTCGGCCGTGGGCTCGGTAGGGCCACCAACCGAGCAAGTGGTACGGTATAATGTAGTGGAATAGTATGTATACAGTATAATGTAAATCCTAGGGGTTTTTATAAAACTCGCCTTGTTTTGATCCGCTGCAACATGTTTTGATCCGCTGCAACTTGTTTTGATCCGCTGCAACCCAAACATTCAACTTGTTTTGATCCGCTGCAACACGTTTTCTTGAACAAGGACGTCACGGCAAGACTAAAAGTCGATGTTTCATCTATTTTTCCCCGGCCAGCGCATGCTGAGCTCGAGCCACGCATTTGCGATGGCGAGCGCGCTAGTCCTGGCCCTGGCATCCTGCGCGACCGCGTTTGCGCCGCGACCGCGCCTCGGCGCAGCGCTGCAGCCGCTCAACGCCGCGGCCTTCGAGCGCTGGTCCTGGAGCGGTCCCGTCGCGCCGCCGCAGTCGAAGCGGGCGCTGCTCCAGGCTGTCGCCGCGTTCAAGGCCGCGACGGCCATGGACGGCAACGTGCCCATCGACTTCGGCGTGTCCGGCGGCGAACTGGACAAGAAGAGCCGCGCGCCGCGGAACCTCTTCCCGGAGGGCTTCGACGCCGTGTCGGAGCGCGTCGGCGCGGCCGCGCGGACGGTCGTGGCCGCCGTCGACGCGCTCGCGGCGGAGCCGTCGCTCGCCGGCGCCGCCGCGGCGTCGTGGCGCACGCGGGACTCGCCGCTCGACGGCGCGTGGAACAACCTGTGGACGACGGCGGCCGACGCGACGTTCGACGAGAAGACGGAGCGCGGCGCCGCCCGGGTGTCCAACGTCGTCGAGGCCAGGAGGGGCAAGATCACGAACATCATCGCCTTCGAGAGCCCCGCGAGCAAGGTCGAGACGTTGAAGGTGCGGCTCAGCGCGAGGCCCATCGGCGGCGCGCGGCTCGAGCTCACGTTCCGCTACGTGAAGGTCACCTTCCGGAAGCGGCTCCTCGGCCTCTTCAAGTCGATCTTCATCCCCGTGCCCGCGGCCTTCATCACGCGCGTGCTCTTCCTCTTCCGACCGGCGAAGAAGCCGCCCGTGCCCTTCTTCGACCTGCTCTACCTCGACGCGGATCTTAGAGTCCAGCGCACGGGCGAGGGCAACGTGTTCGTCCAGCGGCGGGGCTAAGTAGAAGGCACGCGTCGCCAGCGGGCGACGAAGAAGCCGTCCGCTCCAGCGCACGGGCGAGGGCGACGTGTTCGTCCAGCGGCGGGGCTAAGTAGCAGACGCGCGTCGCCAGCGGGCGACGAAGAAGCCGTCCGCGCGCGCCGAGGGCAGGAGCGTCCGCGCGTGGCCGGCCGCGCCCTCGAGAGACGCGTCGAAGTCCCAGGGCTCGAAGCCCCAGGACTCCGGCGACGCCTCGAACGCGCGGACGACGGCCGCGTTCTCCTCGGCGAGCACGGAGCACGTCGCGTAGACGAGGCGGTCCGCGGCCGCGTCCGCCGCGCGGCGGAGGATCGCGAGCTGGAGCTCCGCGAGCTCCGCGAGCGCCTCGCCGGACCGCGCGTCGGCGACGCGGTCGCGCGCGCGGCGCAGCGCGGCGTGGGCGTCGAGGACGTCGTCGAGGTCCGCGTCGCCGGCGCCGCGGTCGCGCGCGCGGCGCAGCGCGGCGTGCGCGTCGAGGACGTCGTCGAGGTCCGCGTCGCCGGCGTCGCGGTCGCGCGCGCGGCGCAGCGCGGCGTGGGCGTCGAGGACGCCGTCGAGGTCCGCGTCGCCGGCGCCGGCGGCGAAGTCGACGGTGCGGCCGAAGCGGCGCAGGACGCCGGAGCCCGAGCACGGCGCGTCGACGAGGACGGCGTTGAAAGTTCGCCCCGCCGGGAGCGGCGCCTCGTCGCTGCAGAAGACGCGCCGCGCCACGCCGGCCTTCGCCGCCCGCGCCCGGAGCCGCGCGAGGCGGGACGCGTCGACGTCGTGGCACCAGACGCTTTCGAAGCGCTCCGCGAGCGCCAAGGTCTTGCCGCCGTTGCCCGCGCAGAAGTCGAGCGCGGTGCCGCCGCCGCCGCAGGCCTCGGCGACGGCCTGCGACCCGGCGTCCTGGACCTCGAAGGCGCCAGCGTCCCAGCCGGGCAGCGCCCAGACGCCGCCGCGCGGTCGCCCGTAGGGGAGCGTGAGCGCCCTCGGAGCGCCCAAACTTTCCGGAGGTCGCGCCGCGCCGACGCGGCGCGCGACGGTTTCCAGATCGAACCCGCCGGCGACGCGCAGCGTCACGGGCCCGCGCAGCGTCGAGTTGAACGCGACCTCCGCGGCGGCCGCGTCGCCGAAGTCCCGGCGGAGGCGCCGCGCGAGCCAGAGCGGCACGCCCGACCGCGTCGCGAGCGCGTCGTCGCCGTCGTCGGGCCACGGGACCGGGTTCCGCGGCGCCGCGGCGCCGCCGACGCGCGCCGCCAGCGCGTCGCGCAGCGGCGCGGCCGTCTCGTCGGCGTGCTCGAGTAGCAGGCGCGCGGCGACGTCGGCGCCGTCGGCGCTGCGCACGCCGCGCGCGCCGAGGATCCACTCGTAGCGCTTCAGCCGCGACGCGCAGCCCAGCACGCTGGATGCGGCGAGGCCGCGCTCCTCGTCGCTGAGGTCCTTCGCCGCGCGCAGCGCTTTGGCCAGGCAGCGGTCCGGTGCCGCGTTTTCCACCCGAATTTCGTGCAGCGTGTCGATGGCCAATCTTGCACATCGATCCTGGCGCGCCGTCGACAGCGCAAAGGCTGCCGTTGCGACGAGCGAGAGCCGCAAAACTCGGCAGACCATGCTTTGCAAAATTTGCCACAAATTCACAATTCAGCATCTATTCAGCGAGCTGAAAGAGCAGGGCGCGTGCAGCTCATCCCCCGCCTTACGCCCGCGACGCTGCTGCTCTGCATTAGTCGACCATGGATCTCAGCACCGACCTCCCGCTTCTCGTCGCCTCGGCCGCCGCCGCGTTGCTCGGCACCCTTCTTTTGTTTGGCGGCAAGTCCAGCGGCCGCACGATCCTCCTGACGCGGCGCTCCCACGTCAAGTACGCCAAGAAGAAAGTTCCCCAGGCCGCCGTGGACCGCGCGCTCGAGGCGGCGATCCTCGCTCCCAACCACTTTCTGTCCGAGCCCTGGCGCTTCTACCAGTGCGGCGCCGAGACCATCAAGAAGTTCGCGGCGCTCAACGCCGACAAGGCGGACGCCTGCCTCGCGGTGCCGGGCATGATGGTCGTCACGCTCACGTCCAAGCACAAGCTCGACGAGAAGCTCGGCCTCGAGGACCACGCCGCCGTCCGTAGCGCGGCGTCCACCTTTTTTCGCCGACGAAGCTTCGCGTTTTCCGCGACCGCGTTCCGCCCGCCAGGTCAGCTGCGCGGTGCAGAACTTCATGCTGTCGCTCCACGCCGAGGGCCTCGCGAGCAAGTGGATGACGGGCGCCATGGGCATCGCGCCGGAGAAGATCCTCGAGGCCGTCGGCGCGCCCGAGGGCGAGAAGATGATGGCCGTCGTCTGGTTCGGCTACGCGGGAGAGAAGAAGGCGACGCCGCCGAAGCGCAAGCTCGGCGTCGCCGGCTGCTACACGAAGCTCGCCTAGGCGCGCGAAACGGCGACGAAAGAAGAGGCTAAGCTGAGAAATAATCAGCACTTTCGGCTACTGTGCAGTTTTTAGGTCAAACTCGCTCGCGCGGACTACCTCGCCGGCGCCCCGTCGTCGTCCCCGTCGTCGTCCGACGACGACGGCGCGTCGTCGGACGGCGCCGCGGCAAAATCGGCCCTCGAGCGGCGCGCCGCGGAGCTCGCGGAGGAGCGCGACCGCCTCGACGCGGAGCGCGACCGCCTGGCGAGCGCCGCCGCCTGACGCGTCCGCGTCCTCCCTCTCCCTCTCGCTCGCTCGCTCGCTCGCTCGCTCGCTCGCTCGCTCTTGCTTGTGTGAATAAGCGCCCTATGTTTGAACTCCGAGGGGGGGCTCCGTCGGTTTAGACCAGGCGCCCTCAGCCCCTGCGTAAGGCGGTGTTGAGGTCCCCTTTGAAGGGCAAGCGGCTGTGGTATATAAAAACGCGAGTGGCTGGAAGGCGAAGTCGACTAGTGCCGCGGCTGTCGACGCAGCGCGGCGATGAGCGCCTGGGACTCGGCGTCGTGGGCGCAGGCCGAGAGCGCGGCCCAGAGCGCCCCGAACGGTGGAAAGGCCTGGGGCGGCGCCGCTGCGCCCAAGAAGCCGGTGGAGGCCAAGGCCAAGGCCGTGCCCTGGAAGTCCATCGAGCCGCTCGACATCCCCGGCGCGAAGCCCATCGAGAAGATCTCCGGCGCGGACCCCAAGTACGTGCTCGAGCACTACCTGCTCAACGGCGAGGGCACGCCCGTCGTGTTCACGGACGCGCAGAAGGACTGGTTCGGCAAGGGCGCGCGGCGGTGGACGCTCGACTGGATCGCGAAGCACTACGGCGCCGAGGAGCTCGCCATCAACGACCGGGCGCCGCTCCAGGAGTGGGACGACCCGCCCATGCGCACGCGCTTCGTGAGCATCGCGGAGTACGCCGCGTACGCGCGCGGCGAGGAGACGTCGTTCAGCCGCGAGCCGGCGCAGAACCCGTGGTACATGAACTCCTGGGAGCCCTTCGGCAAGTTCCCCGAGCTGCTGCGGGAGTGGTCCTACCCCTACTTCGTTGAGGACCTGCTGAAGCACGACGACGACTTCAACCCGAACAACGTCGTCAACTACTCGAAAGTTTTCTGCGGAGTTCCCGGGTCGACGACGCGGCTCCACTACGACAACCAGCAGACCCACGCCTGGCTCGCCCAGGTCGACGGCCGCAAGCAGTTCGTGCTCTACGCGCCGTCGGACGCGGAGTTTCTACGGCTCCACGCGTGGGAGGAGAAGATCGGCGACTCCGGCAGCGACGGCCTCCGGCGCGCGTTCGACCCGGCGACGCCGCCGGACGCGACGGTCTACCCGCACACGCGCAGGGCCCAGGCCTACGTCGCCGTCGTCGAGCCCGGCGAGACGATCCTCGTGCCCCGGGGCTGGTGGCACTACGCGCGGGCCCTCGACGTGAACGTCACGCTCATGCGCAACTTTGTGAACTCGGCGAACAGCGACTTCTTCAAGGATTCGCTGAACCGCGAGCCGGGCAACAAGCACAAGCCGCGCATCCTGGATCTCGCGAAGCAGTGCGTCGTCTGCAAGATGGGCGCGGCGAAGAACAGGAAGCTGTTGCCCTGCGGCTCCTGCAAGGCCGTGGCGTACTGCTCGCGCGACTGCCAGAAGAAGCACTGGAAGGACCACAAGCGCTTCTGCCACGCGTTGAAGGGCCTGAACCTGCCGTCGTACCCGGCGGCGTGCCCGCCGGCGAACCCGCGCCAGGCCCCGGCGCCCCAGCCGGACCTCTTCGCGGACAAGGGCGGCGCGAGCGAGGGGCCCCGGACCTTCGCGAAGACCGTGCTCCGCGAGGGCCGCGGCCCGACGCCCGACGACGAGGCCATGGTCCGCGTCCACTACGACGGCTACCTCGCGGACGGCCAGAAGATGGACTCGTCGACGGACAAGGACAAGGCCTTCGACTTCCACATCACGCGGAGCGGCGTCGCGCGGGGCTGGCGCGAGGCGACGCGGACCATGCGCGTCGGCGAGAAGGCGACGATCGCCGTCGCGCCCCACGCGGCCTACGCGGAGCGGGGCGTGCCGGACAAGGTCCCGCCCCACTGCGCCCTGGTCTTCGACGTCGAGATCCTCGAGGTGTGGTAGAGGGCGCGATTTTTAACTTCAATTTTACACATTTTTATGCCAGGTTGCACCTGTGCTGCCGCAACGTTGACGCAGCTCGACCCGCAGACCACCAGCGCAGCTCGACTTCCGCACTCACCACGCAGCGCGTTGCACGACGCTGCTGCAGCTCGAGCTCTCGAGGCTCTCTGCGTCGCCACGCAGCACACCTGCACGACGGCGCTGCTGCAGCTCGTCATCGCGCTCCTGGCGCCGCGCTGCGGAGCGTTTGTAGCATCGGGCAGCAGCAGCGCGCTCCGCAGCGTGGCGCTCCGCTCGCAGCACGCGCCGCTCCGCAGCGCTGCGCTCCGCTCGCAACCGTCGCCGCTGCTCATGGCTACACCGCGCGTCGAGCTCTTCTTCAAGTCCGACGCCGAGCTGCGCGAGCGCGTCGCCTTCCTCGCGTCGCGCGGCTACACGTCCTACAACATCGTCAACAAGGACAAGGGCGACGACGTCGCGCGGTGGACAAGCGCGGCGCTCGACGCCGGCGCCTCGGACGTCTGCGCGCACTTTTCCATCAAGTACAACTGCAAGGGCAAGGACCCGCGGGACGGCGCCGTCGCGCGCTTCGGCCGGCTCCTGAGCGCGCTCGCGGGCAAGAGCGCCGAGGTGCTGCTCGTGTCCGGCTCGAACGCGAAGCCGGGCCTCGACGCCGCGACGTTTCTCGGGAAGGTCTCCACCACGCGCGGCGTCCGCGTCGGCGTGGCGTTCAACCCGTACCTGGCCGGCGACGCGGGCGCGGAGGAGCGGCGCCGGCTCGCGGCGAAGCTCGCGACGGGTCTCGTCCAGTCGGTCTGGCTCCAGTTCGGCAGCGACGCGGCGCAGCTCGACGACTCGCTCGCGTGGCTGCGGCGTGAGTACCCCGACGTGCGCGTCGTCGGCTCCGTCTTTCTGCCGACGAAGAAGCTCATCGCGCAGCAGAAGTTCCGGCCCTGGAACGGCGTGCTGCTGGGCGAGGACTACCTCTCGGGCCCGGAGGGCGCCGAGGCCGCGACGCGGCGGCTCCTGGAGGTCTACGGCGCGCGGGACGTCGGCGCGCTCGTGGAAGCGCCGGGCGTCCGCACGGCCGCCGACGCCGACGCCGTCGACGCGCTCTTCCCGGCGACGGCGGCCGGCGCGCCGCGAACGCTCGCGCTCTTCCGGGCCACGGACCTCCGGCTGCGCGACAACCCGATGCTCTGCCTCGCGGCGGAGTCCGGCGCGGCCTGCGTCTTCGGCTTCGTGGCGGCGGACGACGACGGCGTGGGCCCGGCGGCGCGCGTCTACCTCGCCGCGGCGCTCGAAGCGCTCGCCGCGGAGCTCAAGGCGAGCTACGGCGCGACGCTCGTGCTGCGCCGGTCCGAGCGCTGGGCCGACGGCGCCGCGGCGCTCGCCGCGGAGGTGGGGGCGACGGCGGTCTGCTGCAACCGGGCCCACGGCGCCGCGCGCGCGCGCGTCGACGCGCTGGCGGCGAAGGTCTCGCTCGAGACGCCCGCGACGAGCGCCTCGCTGCTCTACGCGCCCGAGGACGTGGCCATGCCGACGGGCTTCCAGGGCGGCCACTGGGGCACGCTCATGCCCTTTCTTGCGCGCCTGCCGCGCGACGGGCGACCCGGCGAAGCCCCGCTTAGCGCCGAAGACCGTCGCGCTCGCGGACACCGGGGTCGACGCGGGCGCCGTCGGCGACCTCGGCCTCGCGCGGACGTGGGGCGCGGGCATCCTCGCCTTCCACGGCGCCGCCGGCGAGGCCGCCGCCAAGGCCGCGGCGCTCGCGTTCCTCGACGGCGGGCTCCGCCGCTACGAGCGCGACCGGTCACGCGTCGACGTCGACGGCGCGACGGCGCGCGT